GAGAACTTTATTGTCTAAAGTATTTCAATTTATCCATTTCGACATATACATCAATACTTTAATTCATTAACAATAGTTTTTCAATCAAAATTCTAAGTATATTCTATTATTTATTGTAAATCTATTATTAATTTATAATATATAATAAAGGATGAGAATTGTTGCACAATCTCTATGCACTATAATACTTCAATATTCATAATTTCCAACAGTAGATCAATCAACAAACTACTAATTGTGTTAGATTTAAGATAAATACGAATGACCTCTTATATCTTAAATGAATATTATATCATAATATAATTGCTATTTATTGTAAATAGATAATATATAATAGGTTCAGATATATCAAGAGAGTTTAATCCTATGAACTTAAGTAATTGAATGACTATAGAAGTATTTTATGATTACCTAATTTTGTAATAATTGTTTCTCAATTTTCAAAATGAATGGAGAGATATTGCTAAAAAAGCTGTAATAACGGCAAAAGTTAAAAATAAAAAATGTCAGATAAATACTAGATCTATTTCAATAATTGTAATCAACAGATTAATGGGTTATGTTGTTCTTTTTCAGAAAAATATTTCAGATTGATATAGTTTAATATATATATTATAAAAATGATGAGAAAAACACGTTTAAGTTAGTTGATGATAAATAAAACAATAATATAATGACTTATAATTGAATTTAAACTTTTATGACTCTCTTTTTTATTTAAGTTTTCATTTAAATTCTTAAAGTTTCGATAACTATATTATTTCTATCATTTTGATTTCGTTATAATTTTGATCTCGATAATAGACATTTAATTTCCTAATAGTATCATTAAAGCAAGGTGTAATCAATTTATTAAATATGTTCAAATTCGCATAATAAAATGTAGAACTTTATTTTGATCACCCAACTAATTCATTTATGATAAATTATAATGAAAATATTTCATATAGATAGTGAATTCTATATAACCCAAAAAGGTATCAACTCAGAATAATAAGCTTTATCATATAAGGTGTTTAATACAATTTTATTTATTAATAAAGTCTATTAAAATTATATTTCTATTATTTTTTTTTTAAACTTATAGAATTTTAAATTATATTATCAATTAGTGAAATTGTTTCTATATCTAATAATAGAATTTCAATTCTATTTTTTGAGATTAATAAGCGCATATAAGATTTCTTTCTATTATATTTTATAAAAAAAAAATAGATGGAAATTGAACTAAGCAAATAACTTTGTTAATAGATTGAAACAGAAATTCTAAAAGTAATAGATAAATGTTAAGAGCTTTTATCTACTTTTAGTAATCATGCAAAAAAGAACATAGAAATTGTGCTATTGGTAGGAACAACAGGAGCAGGGAAGTTCACATTATTTAACTTTCTTAGTGGAGCTGATTTCAAAATTCAGGATAGAGAATTATAATTAAAAAACCCATCAAATAAGTTTTCAGAGATGAAAGGTGGAATGAGCTCTGTTACTAAAGAGCCTAAATATTATTTTAACTCAGAATATAACCATTTATTAATTGACTTCCCTGGTTTTTAAGATACTGATGGAGAATTGGATTAACTTTTAATGGAACTACTTTTTTAAAGGGTTGTAACTTCAATGCCTATTAAAGTTGTATATGTTTTGAAGAACAATGAAAGCACTCTACCTAATAGAGGAATACAAATAATAGAATTTGTTGATCAGCTTTTTAAAAATAGTAATTTAAGCGTTAATAAATTTAATTTATTATTGAATTGCTATTTAGAAGAATTATCAGATGAAGAATTGATAAGAAACATTAGAATGGAATTGAAATAAGCGAATAAGAATAATTATATAGACAATATTCTTATAGTTAGAAAAGTAATGAATTCTGAAGATTTGAATATTTATTTTGCAAATGGAAAAAGAAATGAATAATGGTCAAAATTAGAAAAAATAAAACCAATTTAATTGAAACCAAGATCAATTCCAAATACAGATATACTTTCGAAATATCTAAGATAATAAATATCATCGACTGTTGATGAATATGATGATTATATTAGATTTATCAAAACCAATTACTAGACGTAGGGGTAGGGGTAGAGGCAGATGCTCAAGAAGGCAAGTAGGAGGTTGAAAAAAGAGAATTAGCTGAAAAGCTAATTTAGTGATTTGATTATAAATACATACAAATCAAATTATATTTAAATATTTTAATAATTATAAAATATCAAAGTGGATAAACAAAACTTGAATATCAATTTAAAGATTGATTTAAAAATATAAATAGGTAGAAACAGTTCAAAAAGTTTAAATTATGATTAGAGAAGTGATAAATTGATTAAATAATAGATTATATATTTATTTAAGAATTATATTCGATATATGAAAATAATCCAATATAATATTTAATATCTTTTGATATAAATATCAATAAAATAGCAATTTTCTGAAGACTTTATTATAGGTAGAAAGTATAGGTTTGTATTTGAATGATGACATATTTATGTATGAACAAATAAGATAAAGTTGAGAGTCAGAAAGAATATTGTTATTTATTTTAAGTAATGAGAATCGATTGAAAATAAACCATTGATAAAGAAATTGTTAATATTGATTCAATTACCTTTTTCTAACTTAACCAATTCATGCTCATGAATTTCCTTTTTTAATTTATCTACACAAGTCTAACAAAAGTGAAGATCTAAACATTCTTTATTCTCACATTTATATCCAAATTCAACTTCTATTTATTCTGAGCAGTAGTCGCAAAAATAAATATCTCCAAAATTCTCATTTTATCTTGATGAATGCACTGTATCAGAATTTGAATTTTCTTCGAGTTTTAAATTGAGACTCTATTTATTTTAGTTAATCATTGAATAATTTTCATTTTCTGGAACATAATTTTCATCTTACCGTTTTTCATAAAATTATGGTGTCATCTTTTCTGTATTTTATCTGGATTCAATTTTTCTTAAGGGTTTTTATTCAATTTATTCATAGTGTTATGAAATCTCATTCATTTATACTATTTTCTTTTTTTCATTGATGTCATCAAAATCGATTTATAAACCTGGGTATACTTCTTATATCACTGTGAGCGCAATTTATTGAAAATATTTTTATTTTTCGTAAGAATCAAGAAAGGGTTGGCTGCTGTCCTGAGCAAAAGTCATTTCTTTCTTGAGTATAGGATTCTCGATTACGGATTAATTACTTGCTTATATCTATTGGCAATTAGATTATAGCATAGATTGCTGATTCTATTGGTATTGAAATTATTTTTGATTAAATTGCTAAAAACTGGGTAGACATTCTTAGAGATAGAGACGAAGTGTTTATTTTTGTTTGCTAGTAATATCAACACAATATTTTAGATCTTGTGGTCTAAGTATTCTTATCATTTCATCATCCAAATCCTTCCATTTTATAATGACTGAATATTGAGTCAGAGTTTTAATGAAATTGTTAATATCCTGTAAATCCAAGTTGCCATGATATAGATATGCGTATTCTCCTAAAATTAATTTAACTTTCATTTAATATATTAATATTATAACTATCTAAACAACGAGATAATATAATTAAGTTTTTGATACTCCCGACTTCATTTTCATCCAAGATTACTATAACAAAAATATGAAACATCTTTCCATCTATGTTTATAATTTATTTTGTTTCATATTCCTACACTAGTTAAATCAATTTCTATTGAAATGATAATTATTAACTATTTCGTAGATACCATGATAGAGCTTAATACGTATTGTTAAATAATAAAATGAAAAGAAATGTGTAAATAATAATATTTTCAATATATATAATATGCAAATAATACGTAATAGGGCGATTGTGAATTGTATTCCAAGATTTGGATTCAAATACTTGAGTGATAGCACATTTCTCAACGAAGAACATCTCTAGATACAGAAGGCAGCATTAGACTTTGCAAAAGAGAAGATGGCACCACATTCTGCTGAATGGGACAAGAAGCATCATTTTCCAAAGGATGTCTTACGTGAGTTAGCAGCAATGGGATTCTCGACTATATATGTAAAATAGGAATCAGGTAAAGTGTTAGAAATGATGATAGGTGGTGTTGGTTTGGATCGTTTGACAGCAAGTGTGATCTTTGAGGCTCTATCATATGGAGATGTAACAACAACAGCATATTTAACAATTCAAAACATGTGTGCATACATGGTGGATTAATTTGGTAATGAAGAATAGAAAAAGACATGGATTCCTCGTTTTGGTACATTTGATGCATTTGCCTCATACTGTTTAACTGAACCCAATAGTGGTAGTGATAGCAAGAACATGAAGACATTTGCAAAGAAAGTATAATTGATATCTAAATATAGGATGGAAATGATTATGTAATTAATGGATCTAAATGTTTTATTTCTGGAGGTTCTGTAAGTGATGTCTATTTGGTAATGTGTAAAACATCAGAGAAGGATGTATCATGCATCTTGGTTGAAAAAGGAACTCCAGGATTGTCATTTGGTAAACTCGAAGACAAAATGGGATGGAATGCTTCACCTACAGCCATGGTACTATTTGATAATGTACGTGTTCCTCAATCAAATCTTCTTGGAAAAGAAGGCAATGGATTTAAAATGGCAATGAGTGCATTGGATGGAGGCAGAATTAACATAGCATCTTGTTCTCTTGGAGGTGCATCATTTGCTTTTGATTTAACCAAAGATTATTTGCATGGTATCAATTAATTACTACTAATTGTCAAGATCGTAAATAATTTGGATAACCACTTGCTGCATTTTAAGGATTACAATTTAAATTTGCTGATATGGCCACCAATCTTGTTACTTCTAGATTGATTGTAAGATAAGCTGCTTAAATGATTGACAACAGTCATCCTGATAAAACCCTCTATTCTGCTATGGCAAAGAGATATGCTACTAGAACAGTTGTTTCAATATTGCCAATGAAGCATTGCAACTTCATGGAGGTTATGGATATCTGAGTGAATATCAAATAGAAAGGTGATCATTTCTATTTTATCAATAGAATTGTTAGAGACTTAAGAGTGCACCAAATACTTGAAGGTACCAATGAAATAATGAAAGTCATTATCTCTAGGAATCTGTTAAAATGATTTATAATACAAACAATTTTTAAATATGTAATCAAAATACT